CAGCTTCAGACTACTGCACCACGTAGCACAGTTTGGGGAGGAGGTGAGCAGCCTTCAGTGATGAAAGAACAGGTTAGGGACTACTTAGAAAAGCTGGACATGTACACATCCATGGGGCTGGATGGGATGCACCCAAGAGTGCTGAGGGAATTGGCTTATGTGATTGCAGAGCCATCGGCCAGCCTCTTTGAAAAGTCATGGCTATCAGAAGAGGTCCAAGATGATTGGAAAAGGGAAAACATAGTGCCCATGTTTAAGAAAGGAAAAAAGGAGGATCCAAGGAACTACAGACTGGTCAGCTTCACCTCAGTCCTGGACAAATCATGGAGCAAATCCTCAAGGAATCAATTTCTAAGCACTTGGAGGAGAAAAAGGTGATTAGGACCAGTCAGCATGGATTTACCAAGTGATATCTGAGCAACCCGATTGCCTTCTCTGATGACTGGCTCTGGATGCAGGGAGACTGGTGGATGTTGTGTACATTTATTTTAGCAAGGCTTTCGATACAGTCTCCCACAACATTCTTGCAGGCAAGCTAAGGAGGTAGGGACTGGATGAATGGATTGTAAAGTGGATAGAAAACTGGCTGGAGCATCAGGCTCAAAGAGTAGTAATAAATGGGTTGATGTCTAGTTGGCAGCCAGTATCAAATAGAGTGCCCCAGATATCAGAAAAGATATCAGATTTCACCAGAGAATCTTGTCTGCCAAATATTCGGTTTAGGCATTTGGGTGATGGCTCTTCTAACTGGGTGCCTGTGTGTCTGTGAGTGCTCAGAGCAAGCTGTATCCAAGCATGAAACACCAGCAGGCACATTTTAATTGGTCTCTTCAGCATTTATGTTTATTACTATTCAATGTTAGTTTATTATTGGCTATTAATTAGCCACATAGTAGTATAGTGGCTGGTATCAAGAAACTCTTCTGTTTTGAGAAATAGAACCACATGGTTGTGAGGGAAGAAGGGAGGTATAGGCAAAGATTAAAAAGAAAAATCATCCGAACAGGAGATAATCACAAAGGGAGCTCCTTTCCCTACTTTTTCTCTTTCAGTAAGGTCACCCCTTAGCCTTGGCTCCCATAAATCCTGCAAATCCCTTCTACACAAAGATCCCAGGAACTCCCTATTTTATTATTTATAGTGCAGGTAGTGAGCACTGAACTGTGTTTTGAGTCTGAGAAGAAATGGCGCGATTGTCAACAGGACGGCTCCTAGTCTGTATCAGAGCTGTATCTATCCTATTTAGAACGGGAGTTTTGGCCAGTAGTTTACTCTGCATATTGCTCTGTCAAATGCAGCAGAAATAGCAGTAGGGATGGGTAATACCACCAGATTAGGTGGCATGAAAAACAAAGGACCAGGCCCAAAAGCCAAAATTCAACTCTGCTTTAGGCAGGTAAATAGCACTTACATAGCTGACGTTAGGCACTTAAGTGGCTTTTTGCATGTCACTTACACAGATTTAAGAACCTACATCCCTCTGTCCAACTTTCTTTCTCCTTCTGAGCATGTCCAGAAGGAACCTGCACCTGCCACTTGCACTCTCTTGGCAGGGCAGGGCAGAGATGCATCTTAGGCCCCTCTACACAAGCAGGTAAAGGCACAATTGGATCTAACATGTGATCCACACAATTGGGCTTTCTGCCATGCCACATGTACATGGCAGAAGGCACGATTGTGGGATTGTACATTAGATCCAATTGTACCTTATTGCCAGCACAGGGGGAGCCAGGACTGAGAGTCACCCATGCCTGATGGGGCTCTCAGTCTCAGCTGTGCTGCATGTGCATGCCATCAGTTGTGGGGACACTTGGTCCCAGCTGCGTGTGTGGCACAGGCAGGACTGAGAGCCCCATCAGGTGCTTGATCCCAGCTGCAGGTATAATCCTGGGGGTTTCACACACCACCAACCCAGACAGGTTTGGGTTCTGGTCCCTCCTGTCTTCTCTACCACCCACGGTGTTAAAATAGCTAGACAGCAGTGAGGTATAACTACTGGTTTAATGTGGGCAGAGGCTGGGGACAGGATCTAAAGTTCACTCTTTTCTAGGGCAACATCCATCTCACTAGCCATACCCTGTGGCTTTCTCATATTTTTGCCCCTCAGCTGCCCATGGGGCCAGCTTCAAAAGTAGTGATTGGGAGTGTACTGGGCAATGCCTAGCCTGTGGCCTACTGGTGAGGGCAGTCTGGTTTTAAGTGTGAGAAACAGGTTTAAAACCACTCTGAATAAGGGGACCAAGCGGTGCAGGATAGTGGGTTTTCTAATTCCTGGGCAAGTATCTAACCCCTAGGGTAAAAGAAGGACTATGGTTTGAGGTGTACATACTAGTTGGGCCTGGCTCTGGTGTGAGACACACAGGTATAAGCCTGTTGCGCACCCTATGAACACAGGACCTCACTAGACCCTCTGACAGACCCTGACCCTGACCCTCAGCATGGAGCCAGGAGGTAAGTAGGGCCCACGGTGGGTGGGCACTAGTCAGTGGTGGGCGGCAGGTGAGTGGAACTGAAGAGGGTCATGCCCCGCCCCCTGACTCCCACTTAGCCCAGCTCCCCAGGCAGCCATGTGACCAGAGCTGCGCAAACAGGTGTGCTCTGGGCCTGGTGCATGAGTTAGCATAGGAGTTTGTGTGGAAGGGTGTGTAAAAGGGCACGAAGCTCTGGGCAGTGAACCTGCAAGCTCAGGTACTCAGTAGTATTACTCAGTAGTAGCTTAGACTACACTGTAAAATGGTGGGGACATGCTGCACCCCAAAAACTCCTGCCTCCCTCCCTGCTGGAGTGCCCCCCCCCCCTTGTACCACTGAGGCCTCCATCCAGATGGAGCCTATGGCTCCAGGCTATGGGGGCTGCTTGGCACGACTGCCAGCATCTGGGAATGGGAGCAAGGGCACTCCCATTTGTTGGGCATGTTCCTTTGTGCGCTTTCCAGAGTGCCAGGTGAGGGAGCTCCAGGAAGTGGTGAACAGGCTTCGCACCATCAGGGCCCACAAGCAGGCCCTACACCTGGAGAACAGAGGGAAGAGCACAGAAGCCCATCAACAGGATGAAGAACAGTGATGAAACTGGCCTAGACTCCCATCCTGAAGCTGCCTGGAAGATAGTTGTCTTCAGCCCCAAGTTGTGCACCAAAATTACTCCTCCTCTGGAACTACAAAACATGTATGCACTTCTCTCAGCACTAGTAGAGTCAACAGCTGTAGCACTAGCTTTGGAATAAAGAAGGCAACCAGCTCCTCCAAAGAAGAGACACAAGGTAGTCATGGTGTATGATTCCCTTCTTAGGGGGAGTGAGGGAGCAATCTGCTGCCCTGACCCATGAGGTCTGCTGCCTCCTAGGGGCCCGCATCCGGGATGGGGCTGAAAGAATCCCCAAACTTGTCTGGCCTTCCGACCACTACCCCATGCTCCTCATCCATGTGGGCACGAACGACGTGTCACAAGAGGCTACAGGATTCTGGGGGCTGAACTCAAGGGGCTGGGGGCGCAAATGGTTTTCTCCTCAATCCTCCTGGTTGCGGGTCACGGGTAGAAGAGGGATAGATGCACTGAAGAAGTAAACAGAAGACTCTGGTGATGGTGCTACCACGAAGGCTTTGGCTTCTTCAACCATGGCAGGCACCTCAGAGACTGTGACCTGTTGGGAAGGGATGGCATCCACCTCATGCCAAAGGGGAAAAAGTTTTTCTCAGCTAGAATGGTGGACTTCTTTAACCTCTTTAAACTGAGATCACTGGGGGATGGGCCATCTACTACTAACACATGCCTGAGAAATGACGACCTTGAAACCAGCATCCCAGGGAAGCTTTCTCTGACACTAACCAACGGACAGGTCATTCCACAGGCCACCAGGAAGCCCATGGCCTCTATTGGCAAGCCTAGTTGCCTGTACACTAATGCCAGAAGCATGGGAAACAAGCAGGAAGAACTGGCTCTCCTAGCCAACAAGCAATATGATTTCATAGGGATCATGGAGACCTGGTGGGACTCCACCTATGACTGGACAACCAGAATAGGGGATACACCCTGTATAGGAGGGATTATGTTGGAAAGAAAGGCAGAGGAGTTGCTCTCTATGTAAAGGAACATTATACCTTAGAAGCAAAGATTGGAAATAAAGAAGGGTGACTTGAGACAGTCTGGGTCAAGATATAGGGAGAATGCGGGGAAGGGGATTTGACTGTAGGAGTCTATTACAGACCTCCGAACCAAAAGGAATAGTTCAAACAAGAATTCTCTAGGGAACTGGCAGAGGCTGCATGCTCTCAGAGAATGGTTGCCATGGGTAACTTCAACTACCCAGACATTTCTTGGGATGAGCATTCAGCTGGATCAGATCACTCACAAACCTTCTTCACCAGCATTGAGGGGCTCTATCTAACTTAGGAAGTCTATGTGCCAACCAGGGGCAAGGCGCTCCTAGACTTGGTTCTGGCCAAAGGGGACAATCTGGTAAGCAACCTGAGGTTTGAAGGGAAACTGGCATTGAGCATGAGATGATCACCTTCTCCATCCACTGTAAGTCAGGAAAAATTGGCCAGTAGGGTAGTAATCCCTGATTTTAGGAGAGTTGATTTCCACAAACTCAGGAGATTGGTGGACAAGGGCTTGCTGGACCATGGTCCAATGAGGAAGGGAATACAAGAAGAGTGGTTGTTTCTCCAGGAAGCCATCCTACAAGCCCAAAGGAAGTCCATTCCCTTTTGCAAAGAAGGTGGTAAAAGTGCTGGGAGACCCCATTGGCTCAACAAGAAAGTCATGGATGTCCTGAAATTAAAACAAGAAGCCTACAAGGGGTGGAAGCCAGGAAGAACAACCAAAGAGGAGTATTCGCAACAGTCCACACCTGTACGGAGCAGATTAGGACACCTAAGACACTAACCAAACACAAACTGGCAACTGGAATCAAGGACAACAAAAAAATCCTTCTTTAGATATGCAGGAAGTTAAAAAAAGAACAAGGGAACAAAACAGAACTCTTGAATGATTACTTCACATTGGTATGCCAGTCCTAGGGTATTAGCCTGCTTGACATGCTACCGGATTACCATGGTGGGGGTGACCACCCTCCCCCACAGTTGGCATAGATCTTGTGTGGGAACACCTACAAAGGCTAAATATCTACAAGTCAGCAGGACTGGATGCACTATACTCGAGAGTGCTAAAAAAACTGGCCAATGTCATTGCATGACCAATGGCAGGGTTATCTGAAGATTCGTGGCACCCAGGAGAGGTCCCAGAAGTTTGGAAAAAGGCCAATGTGGTACCTAGCTTTAAAAAAGGGGGAAGGGAGGACCCAGGAAATTACAGGACAATTAGTTTGACCTCAATCCCTGGTAAAATCCTGGAGAAAATTATCAAAGAACCTATTACACACAGGCTAACCGATGGCAGTATTCTGAAGGACACAGCCAACATGGCTTTGTAACTGGCAGGTTAGCCCAGACCAACCTCATTTCCTTCTACAATCAGGTAACTCACCACCTGGATAGGGGAAATGAAGTTGATGTCATAGACTTCAAAAAGGCCTTTGACCTGGTCTCCCGTGATGTTCTCATGGTCAAACTGGGAGAATGTGACCTTGACTGCTTTACAGTCTGCTGGCTAGGCAACTAGGTAGGACCCAAAGGGTATTGGATGATGCAATTGAGTTGTCATGGTGGAAGCTGACCAGTGGCATCCCATGATCTCAGTATTCGGACCAGTGCTCCTCAACATATTCATTGACAACATGGATTCAGGTATCATAAGCAAACTGGCAAAGTTGCTGACAACACCAAACTATGGGGGAGCATGGTCATGCTTGAAGACAGACTGGCAATACAGGCTGACCTGGACAGGCTTGTGAGGTGGGCGGACCTCAGCTGAATGTTGTTTAACACAGAGAAATGTAAATTGCTGCACCTTGAGAGAAATAATCCACAACACATTTAATGCTATGCTTCCAAGCATTGAATTATATCTGGGTGCCATGACAGACAACAAAATGAACATGAGCCATCAATGCAATGTTGTAGCTGGCAGAGCTAATCAAACACAGGTTGCAGGG